TATTTTACCTTTTAAGGTGAAAAAAAATTATTTTTTTGAAAATTACCAATATTCCTTTAATATATATTGCAAATTTTTGTAAAAACAAATTGTTTATAATGAAAATCTATAAAATTTAAACAGACGTAGTGGAATCTTCCATAATAAATAAGGTTATTTTATGCGTAAACTTGTGTATTTACTTTATTTTTTTGTATGGAATTATTCATACAATGATATTTAATTATTTTCTTATAAGGAAATAACTGTTTTATTTCAGTTTAATTTTAAAAAAAAGGCCGGTAACATTGAGTTCGCTATTACACTCCATTTGGTGAATTCCCCAGACCTATGTACAGAAAGTACCGGAAAACGGCGTTTAGCTAGGTTTTCGAATTCGTGAATATTTTTATTCAGAGTCTGTCGTAATTCATTCATTCTTGCGCGCGCATGCGTGGATACGAAGTTTGAAGCGTAGGTTTACACAATGCTTTTATGAATGAAATAGTAATCATTTTTTTGCTTTCATGTTTAGAAATGTTTCTTTAAACTGAAAGTGCATAGTTTTGAACTTTCCAAGCTTATTGACCACTATGCAAACAATATTTTAATAAAAAGTGATCTTAATGTGACAATCCTGCAAAATGAGGATCTACTTTTATCGAGGTTTCATCCCAAGGTGGATGTTGTTCAGCAAAACAGTCTACCGTATTAATTTCTGAAATGCAGCTATAACTCTGTATACATTGCAAGCAATGTATACAAAAATCTATTTTTGACATTGGTGACCTTGACCCAAATGACCCCTTACTAAAGGAAAAGGAATAGGACCGCCCTTGGTATGACTATTATAAACATGAAAGACATTAACTTAAATGAGCAGAAATGTTTAGATTTATTTTTTTACACAAGTGACCTTGACCTAGAGACGCCTAACGCCACAAAAAATTAGAGGACCACCTACCAAATATGAAAGATATCATTAAGTAAATTAAGTCATTAGGTGAAATTTTTTGATAAATCCAACTTGGTGGAATAGGTTAACCATACAAGGCCCTATTTTCAAAGTGATAAAAGGGAAATTACTGGGAAAATGGATGGCACATTTATATAACTTGGCAATTCTATGTTCATTGTATTGATAACTAAGTGTGAAAATTATTAAGCCATTAGTTCAGATAGAACTTAAGATATTTCCAACTTGCTGGTTTAGGTTAAACATTATTCATTTTCTAAGTGCCGAAAAGGGCCATAACTTGGTGCAAATGGAAGCAATAGTTATGTTACTTGCCCAGATCATATACTTGGTATGGATTAGTAAGTGTGTAAATTATGAAGCCATTGGTACAGGTAGAACTTAAAAAAAATCCAACTTGCCGTTCTAGGTTAACCTCGTGCGGACAGACGGACGGACAGACGGTTCAATTACTATATGCCCGGGGGCATAAAACATAACAGAACAGTAACTTTATTCCGAATTGTACAAAATTCATCATTATACAAAATATAATCATTTAAATACATGTATATCAAATGCAAGGCACATTTCAAAATCATATCATAGTCAAATGTTTACAAAATACTTATACATGGTATTTTGATGTTTTTTAATCGTTGAAGCACAAAACATATCAAAATGCTAAAGCAAAGTGTACTTCTTTTTCTTTAACTTTACAAACTATGCAATCAATATTATTTATCTCTGTTAGCCAAAAACAAGCAATAAAAACAACAAAAAAGCAATTATCATAGTCATTTAAATACTTGTATATCAAATACAAGGCACATTTCAAAATCATATCATAGTCAAATGTTTACAAAATACATATACATGGTATTTTGATGTTTTATAATCGTTGAAGCACAAATCATATCAAAATGCTAAAGCAAAGTGTAATTCTTTTTCTTTAACTTTACAAATTATGCAATCAATAATATTTATCTCTGTTAGCCAAAAACAAGCAATAAAAACAACAACAAAAAAAGCAATTATCATAGTCATTTAAATACATGTATATCAAATACAAGGCACATTTCAAAATCATATCATAGTCAAATGTTTACAAAATACATATACATGGTATTTTGATGTTTTATAATCGTTGAAGCACAAATCATATCAAAATGACAAAGCAAAGTGTAATTACTTTACAAATTATGCAATCAATAATATTCATCTCTGTTAGCCAAAACAAGCAATAAAAACAACAACAAAACAATCAGTTATCATAGTATTGCAAGCAATCCATAAGTCCCCTACCGGTTAGAACCCCAGCAACATTCTGAAGGGCCATTGGCCATTCACTTATGTTTCTATTTTAAGTAAATTTGTTGAAAAAGTTCTTTAAAAGTGATCACAGGAAACAGTTTTTATGTACAGACAGACAAACGGACTGAAGGACACTATAAAGTTATATTTTTAAACATCCCTGTTATCAAAATATAACATTTTTAAAAGCAAAATTCAAAAAAAAGGAGATAACTCTTGAAATAAAGATGCAAGACGTCATACATGATGTGAGTGTAACAAAGAACAATTAGTAATGAAGGTATTTATATAAATATTTATTTTGAATTTGAAGTAAAAGAAAGTTAAAAGAACGAACAAAAAAAAGAAAAGTTTAAGGAGATAATTCTGGAAATATGGATGCTAGATTTATAAACCTTGTCATATTATTATGATGTGGAAGTTTGAAGAAAATCCTATAATGATTGAAGCAGTTGGTGTAAAAATTACCACTTTCTCGAAAAAAGTCTAAGTTCAAAAGGGGCATAATTCTGGAAATAGTCTTGCTAGAGTATTGAACTTCCTCACAAATGTTGAGTGATAATAAGAAACATATATATAAAGTCTGAAGTAGATACAATCAGAAAAAAAGAAGTTATTAAAAAAAAACAATATTTTTTTCATGAAAATTTTAAGTTCAAGGGGGAAATTCTGATAAATTTTGTGCTAGAGTTGTAAACCTTGTCTTATATGATGTGGTTGATGACTAGAAACTTATATTTAAAGTTTGCTGAAAATATCTTAAGAAATAAAGAACTTATAGTGAAAAAATGTAAAAACTAGAATCAGAAATCTTGAAATTCAGTCTATTTGTTGCCATAGTAACAAGAATTTTCAACATAGGAAGAAAGGAAAATGATATGTATAATCTCCAGACTGCCATCTACCCATATGTTAAGTTTCATAAAACTATTTTCAGTACTTTTTGCGTTATCACTGGATCCAGGTTATGTATAAAATTTGCCATATTTTCAGTCTATTTGTTGCCATAGCTACCAGAATTTTCAACATATGAAGAAAAGAAAAGGATGTGCATAATCCCCATACTGTCATCTATCTATATCTTAAGTTTCATAAAAATTATCTTCAGTACTTTCTGCGTTATCGCGGGATCCAGTTTTGTGGACGGACTGACGGACGGACGTACCAACTTTTGACATTTATGAGGCAAATCAGCTCATAAACACCACCTGGACCAACGTCCATAAGCAAAGTTAGCTCATAAAAACAAAAATTGCTCTAATTTGAATTTTATGAGTTTTTGTTCTTTATTTAACTACGGAATGAAGCTCATAAATATCAAATGTTTGCTCGGACAGACGGACGGAATGACGGACGGACAGACGGACGGTAAACCTAAAGTCCCCTCCGGTAAACCGGTAGGGCCCTAAATGGCTCACCTGAGTTAGAATACTTGTAAATTTGGATTTTTTATAAGAAGATTTTGTTTTTAATATATGCATATAAGGAAAATCAATGACCCCCTCAACGCGGCCAATTTTGGCTTAAGGGCTTTTTCTGTGAAAAATTGGTAGACACTCACTAGAGGATGTTTCATGCGAAATATCTAAGCTCTAGCTTAAAGTTAGTAAGAATGACTTTGACCCTAAGGGCCCAAAAGCTATCCAAAGCAAGGTCTTTACATAAGCTTGCTATACAATAATTAAATGCCCTAGTAAACAGTGATATTGATCTATAGATGATATCATATGACATTGACCCCAGGGTCCAAATGCAATACTGTAAAACACTTATTTTTCGCGAGAACCTTATTTCGAGAATTTGAGGAAAAATGTGCAAAATAATTATTTCGCGTCAACATGAACTCGCGTCTTCCCGAAAAATGTGAAACCGGAAACCCGATGGCATTCGGATATTTTCTTTCCTGTCCGTTCACTAACTTTGCGTCGTTTATTGTGCGAGGAATGCATTTATATCTGTATAAAGTTTTCTGATAGCTTGCTAATCTTCTTGTTAAGTGAAACCGTCTGTCTAAAAATATGTCAATAAAGTTTGATAATTATTTGATATGTGTTCACTGTGTTTGTCAAAGTGTTTAAGTTTCACTGATTAGCCATTCAAAGGCAAGCAAACGAAAATCAATTAAACGGTACTGTAATTTGCCTAACCTGTGGTAAACAATTATGTTTACCCTCCGGCTTAAACTGTAGTACAATACAATAGGTACAATAAAAAGAAATGTTACAAACAACTCGCAGGTGCTTAAGTTTTTGTACCAATGAGATGAGAATGAGATGATCAAGCGTGGGTGGGTGCGGCCGGTATTGTTCAATAGACTTGACCTTGATAAATTGTGTTGGAAATTTAAGTAATCCATTAAGTTGGACAGATTTTCACGTTAAATAGAAAAATATGTAGAAATACCATTAAAATTTTGTGAGACGCATTAATTTGTTTATACTTAATTCGAGTGCAAGTCAAAGTTACCTTCCTTGACACAGGTAATATGCAGCGAAGAAGATTTTTTCCAATTCGTCAATAATACCAAATTGTTACAGGTAAATATGCCATACTAGTAATCTGTACGATATGTATATGCTGCAACACTTAAATAGCTACATGATGTAACTAGAGCTGGTTTCGATACTTTCCCGCAGATATATATCCATGTGTAAGCATTTTCGGGTAGTGTTCATTTTCGGACAATATACAAAGTGAAATATTCGCGAGAATTATGAATTCGCGTCTTAGAACACTCGCGAATATTAGCGAAAATAAATTAAATTTCTTGCGAATAATAAATGTTTTACAGTATCAACAGGGGTTTCTACATAAGGTAGCTATATACCAAGTTTGATTACAATACCGGATTCCAAACTCTATTTATTATCCTGAATCCATAAATTTGACCGACCAACCGACACCTATATAGCCCCCTAGACTTTGTTTGTGGGGGTACAATTACCATTTTATCAGATCAAGGTATTGGCTGGTCGCCAAATATGTCTATACTGAGGTCAGGATATGCCAAGAACATAAATTCCTGCAAAGACTTAAGATTAACCCCTTGCTGAATGCAGTCTCCTACAGGCCAATTAACTTTTTTTTCCTCCATGGTTGGATCAAAGTACCAATTAGGATATCCCCATAATAAGACTGTTGTCACGTAAATTTTATTACCAATAAGAACAACACCAGGTGCACCACTCCCACCTTTGGTGAACCTGCAGAGAAACAGAAATCTATGAGGATTGTCTATCTTATCATGAGGTGGGCAATCACAATGTCTGCCACCTGTATAATTAATGCTCTTCTCATTCATTTCATTCCTCAGTTTAGCTTTTTCCCGGTTATCAATGCATATTTTGTCTACAAAATTTGTTTCCATGATGTTCCCTTGAGAATGTCCTATTAAATGGAACCCTCTATCAGAAACAGGGGAACAAAATAAACGCAAAGGAGGAGGCAAAGTGCGTGAATCACATTCTAACTCTACAACTGAAATGTCTGTTTCTAAATTGGAAAATACTGTTTTGCCTAAATGGAATTTGTCCTCTTCATTGAAACCACTCTCATGCTTGTAATTAAAAACAACAAACTTTTCAGCTGCATACTGATGACCTGAAAGTAAACAAAAAATTTGAAAGAAATAATATTTTGAGAAGAGAATCATATTACACATAGATGCTTTAAGTTTCATAAAAAAGTGTAAACAATTTTTTTTTTACATTTAATCACCTTGACATGGAATTTGTCCTTTACAACATTTGCTGATCTAGGAAAAAAATCAACTGTCTTTCATAACATTTAAAGTTTCCAAGAAAATGACTTCAAATACTTAAAATTCTTCACTTCAAACTAAACATACTGGAATGTATTAGGACATATCAGCTGAGGATCAAGCAAGTACTCTTTGACATAGTAGCTTATTCTGGTATAATTTGACGAAGTACTTCAGTGCCATTTTTTATAGGGAAATGTACTGAAACTGTTATCAAATTAAATATCTTATGAGAAATAAAAACAAAAGCAACCTTCAAGAAATCTACTTGTCACATGACAAGCTGTCATTATAAATCTAGACCCAACTCGAAATCCGGTAGCTGTTAAGGTACCATCTTTTGTTGGGGAGAAAATCTTGCAGACAGAGCGTGCAGCAGCCACCTTTGCCTCTGACTGAAGCACTGTCTCAACATGTCCATTCATATCAAAAAAGGAACCATGCGGTTTTTCTTCAGATAAACTCCTTTTGCCAGCAGTCAAATCTGAAATGAAACTAGAACTATCACTGAATGTGATTAATACACTGGCAAGACTGCTTCTTACTAGTAAAAGAATACTTTGTTAAAGAATTGAAACATAATTTAAGTTGTGGGCATTTAAAGATAGTTGTGCTTCTTGTACATTGCATTTCCTTTTACTGTGTTTGACCATTGATGAAGATTTATTGAATTGCTCAGTAATAAATAAAGATAGAGTTATGGTTCTTGAACACTGCACTTCTTCTCATTGTGCTTGACCGTTGTATGAAGTTGCATTGACTTCCAAACATTAGTTTTTAAGTTATTAACCCGACAAAGAAAAGGAACAAAGGGCAGTAACTCTGAATATACTGAAGATGGAGTTACAGTTTTTGTACACTGTACTTCTTCTCAATGCGCATGACCATTGTATGAAGTTGTATTGAATTCAAACTACCAGTTTGCAAGTTATGCACGGGACAAGAAAAGGTAACAAAGGGCAATAACTATGTAATTAGTCCAAACAGAGTTCTTGTGCATTGCACTTCATCTCACCGCGATTGACTATTGTATAAAGTTGCATTGAATTCCAATAATTAGTTTTCAAGTCATGCACTAGACACAAAATAGAACTCCTTGAGTTGGATGTGTCACCTTGTGAACAGTATAGCTGTCACTTGGGCATTTTCTTCTTAAAATAGGTTATCAATAAACACTGCTCTTACAACGTACATGTACCTTCAACTTTAGAGGCAATGTTACATCAGGATAAATAAGAACCGGTTGAACCGGATGATGCTCCCCGAGAAGATTCTCCACACAGGAAAGTATAACAAGAGCTGTCGGTAGGACAGCACGCTCGACTATTCTAAGTGCTTGATAGTAAAAGAGCCTTGATAATGTTAAATTTTTTAAGATCACAAAAGGTCTAAATTTTTTTAATAAATTCATGTTATAGGCCTTAGAGAGAGTCTAATTATACAATATTGGCTTGACTATTCGGAAGGTAATGTCACAAGGTTGTTTTATTGAGTATAATAATACTAATTACCTATGAATACATAAATTTGACAGAAAAGGTACATAGGCTTCTAATTAAGATGTTTTATCAAGTAAATCACTGCTTGATTATTATGAATGCATAAAATTGTCCCAAAAAAGGGCACAAACCCTTCAGTAGTAATTGAGATAACAGCTTACAAGCAAAACTTTACCATGAATTTCTAAGTTGAAAAAGGGGAGAAAAATCAGCCTAAATGCAAGATAGAATTATGGATCTTTGTCAGTGACCTACAATTATGACCCTTAATGCAAATGTGAAGTTTTAAATAGATATCTTTAAAAGTTATTGAGATATGTAAAACTTGCATGTAAACATTAACCAAGAGACTAAATAGAAAAGGGGATATGAATCAGCCTTAATGCAAGATAGAGTTATGGAACTTGGTCAGTGACATACAATTATGACCCTCCAATTATGACCCTAAGTGCATGTGTCAAGTTTCAAGTAAATATCTTTGAAGACCTTTAACCAAAATTTCTAAGTTTCAAAGGGGCAAATAATTCTTCAAATTTTGCAGGCAGAGTTATGCAATTTTGCAAACTGATGTACATTGTTACTATAAAAAAGTATTTTAAATTTCATTTGAATATCTCAAGCAATAATTGAGGTATTTGACTTTACAAAAAAACTTTAACCAAAATTTCTAAGTTCCAAAGTGGCATAATTCTATTAATATTGTAGGCAGAGTTATCCAACTTGTCAATCTGATGTACCTTGTTACTATAAATAAGTATTGTAAGTTTCAATTGAATATCTCAAGCAATAATTGACAAAAAACTTTAACCAAAATTTCTAAGTTAAAAAGGGGCATAATTCTGTCAATATTGTAGGCAGAGTTATCACACTTGTCAATCTGATGTACCTTGTTACTATAAATAAGTATTGTAAGTTTCAATTGAATATCTCAAGTAATTATTGAGATATTTAACTTTACAAAAAAACTCTAACCAAAATTTCTAAGTTAAAAAGGGGCATAATTCTGTCAATATTGTAGACAGAGTTATCTAATTTGTCAATACGATGTACCTTGTTACTATAAATAAGTATTGTAAGTTTCAATTGAATATCTCAAGTAATGATTGAGATATTTGACTTTACAAAAAACTTTAACCAACGCAGACGCCGACGCGGACGCTGACGCCGGGGCGACTACAAGAGCTCTCATATTCTTTAAATAGTCGAGCTAAAACAATGAATAAAGGGCAAAAACTCCAAAATTAGGCAAGGCGGGGTTATGTTTTTTGCACTGCACTTCTATTCAATAAGATCTATCTATTTATAAAGTTTCCTGATGATATCAGAGTTATGTCCCGGGTAAAATTCAAAGTGTAAAAATGAACAAAGGGCAATAACTCCAAAATTAGACCAGGCTTTGTTTAGGTTCTTTAAGCATTGCAGTTCTATCCAATTATATAGAGGATATTTGTTTGTTTGTGTGTAAGATGAAATTTTATTTCATCGAGTGGGCTTTAAAAACAGTATTCTCACGAGTGGCGTAGCCACGAGTGAGAATACTGTTTTTAAAGTTCACGAGATGAAATAAAATTACATCTTACACAACAAACAGACAAATTTTCTTTTTATTTTATGCTTAAAAACAAGTTAAAACGAAATTTCCATAATTTTAACGTTAATATTAAATTTTGTTTCCCCCATTGAGAGCCCCATTTAGACGGAATTTCACATTAAAAACAAGAAGTCTTGAGCTAAAAAATAAGTTCGCCAATCAAGGTTAAATGACGGTGATATTTATTCATTTTATTTAAAAAATATGAATGATCGCTTGTTTTAATAATAAAAACAAACAATTCTTGTAGGAGAAAAAGTCCAACCATCCATCCATGTTTCTGTTACTTACTGCGAATTTATATTAGACCTGGCTTTGTAAAATGTAAGCGGCAGCCATTTTTTAAAGTTGTGTATTTCATGGGAGGGAAATAATTGTGTAAGATTCAGAGGGATATAATTTGGATTTGTTAGTCATACACCTTTTTAAAAGAAAGAAAACTTATTTGAGGATTTTAACAGACAAAAAATAAGTGTTGACAGAAGTGAAAACATTCAGAAAAGGAGCTAGGAAAATGGAAAACTTGGAAGCTTGCTAAGCCTAAGGAACGCTGGGTTGTTTTACTTATTCTATGAGTGATGGCTGTCAATGCTTTTCAATTTTTCATAAAGCATACGGCAGTTATTGCTCGTAGGATACTTTAATATGCCCAAATGTCATCAAGAGCAGATTTGCATGGGGAAGGAATGTATTTTTCAGACTGTAAAAACGAAACAAAATTTTTTAGAGGTGATTGGAATTTGAATGAATAGATAAGAAGTAAGTTTTCTGTCTTTATTACTTTTGACATTTAAGTTATTTATCTATTTCAGCTTTGCTTTTTCTTTTAACAGCCTGGCATTGTCAGAATTGCCAGTAAAAATAAAATTGAGGTACCACATGGGGAAAATCTTAAAAAAGTAGTTTCGTCATTGAAAAAAGTGAAATTATATTTTGATAATGTTCACTGTGAAATTATCAAATATAATTTTCACGGATAAATCAGTAATCCACTGAAAAGCATAAAATAAATCTAGCTACCTACAAAGTTTCATGTTAATTTTAAGTTATGTCCCGGACAAAAGTCAAAAAGTAAAAATAAACAAAGGGCAATAACTTCAAAATAAGGCAAGGCAGAGTAATGATTCTTAAGCACTGCACTTCCACCCAATGAGACCTATCTATCTACAAAGTTTCATTTTGATTTCTCTTATAATTTTAGAGTTATGTCCCGGACAAAGTTCAAAGTGTGGCAATAACTCCAAAAGTAGGCAAGACAATGTAACAGTTCTTGTGCACTGCAACCCTACTTAATGAGATCTATCTACCTACAAAGTTTAATGTTGATACCTCTTATAGTTTTAGAGTTATGTCACGGACAAAGTTCAAAGTGTGAAAATAAACAAAGGGAAATAATTCAAAAAATAGGCAAGGCAGAGTTACGGTTCTTGTGCACTGCACACCTACTCAAATAGGTCTTTCTACCTACAAAATTTCATGTTGATACCACTTATAAATTTAGAGTTATGTCCCAAACAAAGTTCAAAGTGTAAAATAAACAAAGGGGGATAATTCAAAAAGTAGGCAAGACAATGTAACAGTTCTTGTGCACTGCAAACCTACTCAATGAGATCTATCTACCTACAAAGTTTCATGTTGATACCTCTTATACATTTGGAGTTATGTCCCGGACAAAGTTCAAAGTGTAAAAATACACAAAGAGGGATGATTCAAAAATTAGGCAAGGCAGAGTTATGGTTCTTGTGCACTGCACACCTACTCAATGAGATCTATCTACCTACAAAGTTTCATGTTGATACCTCTTATACTTTTAGAGTTATGTCCCGGACAAAGTTCAAAGTGTAAAAATAAACAAAGGGGAAAAATTCAAAAATAGGCAAGGCAGAGTTACGGTTCTTGTGCACTGCACACCTACTCAATGAGATCTATCTACCTACAAAGTTTCATGTTGATACCTCTTGTTGTTTCAAAGTTATTTACCGGACAAGAAAAGGGGACGGACGGACAAGGCGGCGACTATATGCTCCCCCGAAATTTTTCGATGAGCATAATAAAACTGCTAATATAATATTATCAAAACTAGAACTGCCACTGTCATAGCGTGAAAACCCCCGCGTACCACTTTGTCAGAATCAACAGTGGCCATTTAGAGCTCAAGGACAACCTCCCTGCCAAATCTGAGGTTACTCCGCCAGTGCATTGCTAAGTTATGTACATTGTATTTTACATGCTTCAACTGTGAAAATGTCAAAATCAATACACTGGAAACAGGCATTCTTAAGCAATGTAGAGGAAAAGTTTTTTTTTAATCACGGTCCCTGTGCCCTTTGACCCACTGACCTAAAAATCAATAGGGGTTACCTTATGGTCATGATCAACCTCCATGCCAAATATGAAGACTGTGGGTCAAAGGAATCTTAAGTTTTTGGGCAGACAAACTTTTTGAAGTCAAAGTCCATGCCACCTTGACCCTTGACCCAGTGACCTTAAAATCAATAGGGGTCATCTTCTAATCATGACTAACCTCCATGCCAAATATGAAGACTGTGGGTCAAAGGAACCTCAAGTTATTGGGCGGACAAGCTTTTCATAGACACGGCCCCTGTGACCTCGACCTTTCACCCAGTGATCTCAAAATGTCAAAATCAATAGGGGTCATGTACTAATCATCACTAATCTCCATGCCAAATATGAAGACTGTGGATCAAAGGAATCTTAAGTTATTGGGCGGACAAGTTTTTTTACTCAAGGCCCCTGTGACCTTGACCTTTGACCCAGTGTCCTCAAAATCAATAGGGGTCATCTACCTATCATGACTAACCTCCATGCCAAATATGAAGGGAATCTTAAGTTATTGGGCGGACAAGCTTTTTATGGTCAAGGCCCCTGTGACCTTTTACCCAGTGACCTCATAATCATTAGGGGTCATCTACTAATCATGACTAACCTCCATGCCAAGTATGAAGGCATTCTTAAGTTATTGGGCTGACAAGCTTTTAAAGTCAAGGCCCCTGTGACCTTGACCTTTTACCCAGTGACCTCAAAATCATTAAGGGTCACTTTATGATCATGACCAACCTCCATTCCGAATATGAAGACTGTGGGTCAATTTTTTTAAAGTTATTGTGCCGACAAACTTTTTGAAGTCAAAATCCTGTGACATTGACCTTTGACCCAGTGACCTCAAAATCAAAAGGGGTCACCTACTAATCATCACTAACCTCCATGCCAAATATGAAGACTGTGGATCAAAGGAATCTTAGTAATTGGACAGACAAACTTTTTATAGTCAATGCCCCTGTGACCTTGACCTTTGACCCAGTGACCTCAAAATCAATAGGGGTCATCTACTACTCATGACTAACTTCTATGCCAAATATGACTGTGGGTCAAAGGAATCTTAAGTTATTGGGCGGACAAGGAAAAACCGACGGACGGCCAGACGCCCGGACAGCCAGCCGGACTGATTCTAGTATACCCCCCCCCCCCTTATAACCTTTTGTGCGGGGGTATAATTAAAATACCATGGAAAACTTTTACACTGACTTATCAAACAGGTTACTCTGTGATAAATTCTTAAGCACTGCACTTCAGATCAATGGAAACAGCTAACATACCAAATTGGAGTCAATCAAATTTATATGACTAAGTTATGCTCAAGACAAGCTTATAAAGTAAGAAAATTAACAAAAGGCAATCACTAAAAAGTCATAAAGTGCAGAGTACAATTTCTTGTGCACTGCATTTCTTCTCACTGAGATCTATCATCCAATGAAGTTTCAAGTCAATAGCTTCTAAAGTGTAGTAGAATTGGCCTGGATAAAAATAAAGTATACTGATTAACAAAGGGTAATAATTTAATAATAATGAACTGCAGAGTACCGGTTCTTGTGCAATGCACGTCTTCTCAATGAGATCTATCATCCTATGAAGTGTAAATTCCATAGCTTTTATAGTTAAGGTGAAATGGCCAGCCAAAATAAAGTAAGAAAAACATTAACAAAGGGCAATTACTAAAAAATAATGTGCACAGAAATTTATCTCAATGAGATATATTATCCTATGAAGTTTCATGTCCATAGCTTTTATAGTTTAGGAAAAATGGCCCTGACAAAAATGTAATATGAAATTAACAAAGGGCAATAACTCAAAAAATAAGAAGTGCAGAGCACCGATTCTTGTGTACTGCACTTCTTCCTAATGAGATGTATCATCCTATGAAGTTTCAAGTCCATAGCTTTTATAGGTTACGAGAATTGGCCAGGCCAAAAAAAGTATGAAAATTAACAAAAGGAAATAACTCAAAAAATTGAAGTGATTCTTGTGCACTGCACTTCGAGTCATTGAAAAAATCATGCATACTAAGTTTGGAGGAAATCCGACTTATAATGACTGAGTTCTGCTCCGAACAAACCTATGGGGACACCGACAACAATTCCGACATAAGTAACTCCAATATGTCGCCCTTTTCAAGGCAACACAAAAAGAAACAAAGTGCAATAACTATTGAATAAGTCCAAATAAAGTTATGGTTCTTGAGCACTGCAATTCATTTCACTGCACTTGACCATTGTATGAAGTTGCATTGAATTTCAACAATTGATTTTCAAGTTATGCACTGGACAATAAAAGTAACTTTGGGCAATAACTCTAAAATGAGTCAAAAAAAGAGTTATGGTTCCTTGCACTGCACTTTCTCTCAATATACTTGATCATTGTAAAAACTTGTGTGGAATTCTAACCAGTAGATTACATGTTATGCTCTGCGACAAGGAAAAGTAACAAAGGGCGATCACTCTATAATTACTCTGGACAGAGTTATGGTTCTTGTCCACTGTTCTTCTTCTTATTGTGCACGATCATTTTATTAAGTTGCATTGTATTCCAACAATAAGTTTTCAAATTATTCACTGGACAAGAGAAAGTAATGAAGGGCAATAACTCTGTGATAAGTCAAGATGGAGTTATGGTTTTATGCACTGCACTTTGTCTCAATGTGCTTGACCATTGTATGAAGTTGTATTGAATTCTATGTAGTGGTTTTCAAGTTGTGCTCCAAACAAGGAAAATGCAATGGAAAAGTTACAAAGGGCAATAACTCTATTATTACTTTAGATAGAGTTATGGTTCTTGTGCACTGCATTTCCTCTTATTGTGCTTGACCATTGTATGAAGTTGTTTTGAATTCCATTCGGTACTTTTAAAGCAATGCTTCGAACAAGGTAAAATATCAAAGGGCACTACATCTGTAAATAGTCAGATATGGTTCTTGTACACTGCACTTCATCTAAATGTGCTTGACCATTGTATCAAGTTGTATTGAATTTTAACTAGGTTTTCAAGTTATGCTACGGACAAGAAAAAAGTAATGGAAAAGTAACAAAAATCAAGAGTTATGGTTCTTATACACTGCACTTCCACTATAAGCTTGAAAGGCCTTACTTGTATCACTCATTAGAGTCTGCTTACTGACACCCTAGAAGATATTAATATTGTTTTCCAAGCTCGAACTTACCAGTGATTGGGTCATTTGAGGAAATATGATCATGACCCCATTGTTGCTCAAGTTCACAATCTCTAATTTTAGAGACAGAGCATTGAAATGCACCTTTCATTGAACACTGCACTAAAAATAAAAAATCATTATAACACTTCTTTAGTTTACTGTCAACATCAAGTACATTACCTTTTTTATATTCTTCATTATTGTCTCCCTTTTCATCTTCCTTCTGCAGAATTTTCTAAAATTATATAAAACAAGCAATTATCATAGTATTGCAAGCAATCCATAAATCCCCTACCGGTTAGAACCCCAGCAACATTCTAATGGGCCATTGGCCAGTCAATTATGCCATTTGATGAATGAATGACATGAATGAACTTAAATCTTTTTGAGTTTTAAAGTTGTCTATATCATAGTAATGCGTTAAGTTTTCATGCCAAGTAAGGTTATTATGTTTATACAACAGATAATCAAAAGATCCTATTTTCTCAGAATGACTACGTAACTAATGTTTCAACTTTTCCCTATTTTAAGTAAATTTCTTGAAAAAAAAATATAAAAAGTGATCTCAGGAAACAGTTTTATGAACAAACAGACAGACAGACAAACTGAAGGGGACTCTTAAGTTATATTTTCAAACATCCCTGTTACCAAAATATAACATTTTTAAAGCAAATTCTTAAAGAAGAGATAACTAACGAAATAAAGATGCTAGATTTATGAACATTGTCATAAGTGAGGTGAGTGTAACAAAGAACAATTATTTTAAGTTTAAAGATACCATTTATAGTTACAAAGAAGAAAAGTAAAAAAATAACAAATTTCAAATATAGCATTACCATGTATAGTAACAAAGATGGAAATATAAAAAATATAATGTAGGTGTTTATAATGAATGTTTATTTTGAATTTGAAGTAAATCCATGAAGAAATAAGAAAGTAAAAGAATGAATAAGAAAAAATCGACGTTTAAGGAGGAGATAATTCTGGAAATATAGTATCTAGATTTATAAACCTTGTCATATTATTATGATGTTGGAGTTTGAAATAAATCCTTTAAGAAATGAAGAAGTTTGAGTAAAATATACCATTTTCTCAAAAAAAAAATCTAAGTTCCAGGGGGACATAATTCTGAAAATAGTCTTGCTGGAGTATTGGACCTTCTCAGAGAGATTGATAATAAGAGAGTGATAATAACAAACATATATATGAAGCTTGAATTAGATACATTAAGAAATAAAGAAGTAATTTAAAAAACAAACATTTTTTTCATAAAAATTCTAAGTACAAGGTCGGTAATTCTGTTAATATTTGTGCAACAGTTGTACACCTTGTCACATATGATGTGGTTGATGACCAGAAACTTAAATTTAAAGTTTGGAGTAAATACCTTAAGAAATAAAGAACTTAGTGTGACAAAGCGTAAAAACTAGAATCAGAAATCTTGAATTTCATTCTATTTGTTGCCATATCAACAAGAATTATCAACATAAGAAGAAAAGAAAAAGATGTGCATAATCTCCAGACTGTCATCTCCCAATATTTCATGTCTCTTAAAAATATTTTTTGTACCTTTTGTGTTATCACTTGATCCAGTTTATGTGTTACATTTGCCATATTTTCAGTCTATTTGTTGCAATAGCAACCAGAATTTTCAACATAGGAAAAAAAAGAAAAAGACGTGCATAGTTTCCATAGTGCCATTTATCCATATATCAAGTTTCATCAAAATATTTTCAGTACTTTTTGCGTAACCGCGGGATCCAGTTTTGTGGACGGATTGACGGACTGACAGACAGACAGACAGACGGAGGGTAAACCTAAAGTCCCATCCGGTTAAACCGGTAGAAGACTAACAAGAGCGATCAGTGATCAGATGTGTCACCTCATGATATCCAATTGCATGTTGCAGCTACTGTGTAGCAGAAGACTCAAAAATCATTAACAAGCCAAAACAAGCTTTTTATTCAAGGACCATAATCTTCTGTGTAGCTGGCAACACAAAAAAAAAACAACATTTTTTTTAATCAAGGGTCATAACTCAGCACAAAATCATTCAACTGGAAAACAAGTGTAATGGGCTAAGTACCTGAGCTACAGACCAGTCCTGCATGTTTCATGAAATTGCATTAGTGGTATAAGAAGTTGGTACAAACTTTAAAAATAAAAATCATTAAAGGGCCATAACTCTGACAAAATCAATGAGCCGGAAAATGCTGACAAGTGCACAACTAGACTTCCTGTAAAGTCTGGATGAAATTATCACATTACATTTTGAAGAGTAGTCTGGACAAGTTTGGTGACAGACTGACAGACGACGGAGAAGTGATCCCTATATGTCACCACTACTCTGTAGGGGCGTCACAAAAACCATCTTCGTATATAAAACTTTTCAATATTCCATATTTTTCATGGGATAAAGTGTAACCCGCTCATTCTAGTAAGTAACCCATAAATAGAATTTTGGCAAAAAAGTAAAGTTAAAGTTCAAACATGTAGTTTTATTTTACAAAAACACATTGATTAAAAAACTTTTGTGTATAAGTTGTGAAGCTGATAGGAGCAGGCTCGACACTTTATCCCATTAAAGGGTATAAGCTACATTTAATGATTTTTTTTACAAATTTTTAAAATGGTAACATTATATTATTTTCATAATCTTATGTTCGATTTCTGAAAAAAATGTATCATAAGTACAAATGGATATTATATGAAAACAGAATCAAATATCTCGGGACACAATATTATGCTGCTGTTATCAGTAGGGTTTTCATATTTATTTAAATAAGAGCCATATTACACATGGTGAATCTCCTTGCCAGGATTAAGTTTTCTGAAGGTTGTTTCAGGTACATTTTACTTGGTGAGAGGATATCCTTAAAAAGCCATATAGTTATGATCATGCTTAGTATAGTTTTCTATTAAGAAAACGAATAAAGCAATAAAGAGAAATTTGCATAACTGGTAACGTATATGTGACTTACTTATCTTGTTTTATTTATGCCAATGTTTTAGCTTTGAAGAAAATCATGTGAGTGTAATTAGAGTTATTTTTAGATACCCCCTACGTAAATATGAAAAAGTGGAATAGCAAAGAATAGTTATTGTTCTTGCGAGGGGGTGCCCCCACACTCCACTGTTTTGTCAATCTTATGACTCTATGTCAATTTTTTTTTTGGCAACATGTGCAAAAAGTTGAAAACTAAAAATCTTAAACTAAGTAAAGGGCAAGAACTTTACAAATACTGAATAATTCAACAAGCCAATCCCAAGGTGCATAAGTACACATGCTGTCCAACATTCTTGTCAATTTTCAATCCTACCGTTCAAATACGTTTTGAGCTATGCATGAACAAGTTGAAAATTGCAAATCTATACTAAGTCAAGGGCAATAATTCTAACAAAACTGAAAAAAAATCCACATGCAAAATATCCGGTGCATATAGCTTCACAGTGATATTTATCATCATTTATGTAAAGTTGATTCTAACTCAAGGAACAAATAACACAACATAATGAAACAGTTTTTACTCAGTAAAGGGCAATAACTCTACAAATACTGGATAAACCCACAAACGAAACCACAGTGCACAACTACACATGCTGACCAACATTCCTGTAAAGTTTCATGACTCTAGGTTAAATACATTTTTAACTACGCAAGACACAAATTGAAAATGCAAATTTTCACTAAGTCAAGGGCAATAATTTTGACAAAACATATCAATTCACAAGCAAAACCCCAGGTGCACAACTTCACATGCTTATCAATATTCCTGTAAAGTTTCTTGACCCTATGTCAAATTCTTTTTGAGCTATGTGTGACACAAGTTGAAAATTGACAATTTTTCACAATATGCTTATGGGGTAAAAGCATATTTGCACAATGTTGACCTTGAATGAGCAAGTGCGACCTTGACCCTGGCGGTAGGGGTCTGGTTTTTGCGCATGACACATCGTCTTATTATAACAAATTTTTGCCAAGTTTTTTCAAATTCCTTTGATAAATGACAAAGTTATCAAATGGACACAAGAGTGTGACGTCCGGACGGATGAACGGACAGACGGACAAGGTTTCGACTATATGCTCTCCCTTCGTCTTATTATTGTTACTATTTGAGCCAAGTATTTTCAAAATCCCTTGAATTATGAAGAAGGTATAGATCGAACATAAAAAATACTCTATAACAGACTATGTTTATCTTTGACCCCTAAGTGTGACCTTGGAGGTAGGGATCCATGTCTTACGCCTGACATATCATCTTATTATCATGATTACTTGTGCCGAGTAATTTTAAAATCCCTTGAAATATGAAAAAGTTATGGACTGGAAACAAAATATACTCTATAACAGAGTATGTAAATCTTAAACCTCTTAGTGTGACCTTGAAGGTAGGGGCACAGGTGTTACGTATGACATATCATCTTGTTATTTGTGGCAAGTATTTTACAAAATCCCTTGATCTATAAAGAAGTAAAGAACAGGACACAAAATATAACATAATGGACTCCGTTAACATTTGACCTCTAAGTGTGACCTTGTACTTGGATGTAGGGGTGCAGGTGTTGTACTTGACATATCGTCTTATTATTGTGACTATTTATGCCAAGTTATTTTAAAATCCCTTGAAGTATGAAGAAGTTCCAGATCGGACACAGAATATACCCTAAAACAAGCTATGTAAATCTTTGACCTCTAAGTGTGACCTTGACTTTTGAGGTAGGTGAATGTTGCGCATGACACATCAACTTTTCAAAATCCCTTCAAAGATAAGAAAGTTATGGACTGGACACGACATTTACCCTCAAATAGACAATGTTGACCTTGAATGAGCAAGTGCGACCTTGACCCTGGCGGTAGGGGTCTGGTTTTTTCGGAGAGCATAAAATGTAAAGGAGTCAATAATATGCGTTAATTGACTAACTTTATACTTTACATTCATATACATATTTGCTATTTAAAGCACGTTTAGTTGATTTATCGTCTTCTTATATATCTTTACAATAAAAAATTTATATATGATATCAAAGATATTGAAACAAGCAATACCACACAACCAAATTTAATAACTGATTGTACACACATGCTTTTCTTACTCACCTACTTGGCCCGAAGGAAGACAAAAATACCTTTATCCAATGAAAAGCATGTTTTAAGATGGAACATTTGCATAAGAATTCATAGAAAAGTAAAAAACGAAAGAAATAGAATAAAATTACCTATGTATACGTATTTTGTTGTTTTTCTATTACGATTA